GGAATGTCCACGCACAGGTGTCTACGCAGCACACCACTCGCTCTGTCTGCAGAGTTCAGACAGGTGGACGCTGCCCAGGTCCCCCCCATGGTCACAGAGCCCACACAACTAAGGCCGCACTTCAGTGCTGCTCACACGGCCAGCCTTTCCAGCTATCTTCACAACCCACATCTGTCCACACTGCCCCAGTGCTGTAGCGACCAACATCTATACCATCTGCAGTGTAGACAGCCAAACCTGGTCTACACGATCCACCCCGGGCCCCATCTCCTGAACCCACTTGCCTGGGCTTCACTGGCTCCTTCACTTACAAGGAGGGTCGGGGCCCACGGAACCCCCACTATACACAGCAGAAGAACCCCAGACCGAGGGGAGCAGCTGGCTTGGAGCCCCTCCAAATACAGCCTTCGGGCACAGCCCCAGTGGGGGCTCCTGCCAGCCCTCAGTGCTGACAGGCTGATTAGGGGGTGGGGGATCCGCTGGGACTGTGCCCCCCGCCTCGAGCAGCTGCAACTGGGGGGGGGTGCAGCACAAAGGGAGAGGGCCCCTGTTGAGGGCATCTGTCCCTCTGTCATCTGTCTGCCTTGGTGACCCTTTCAAGCAACTAGACGGGTCCTTCCCTGGTGGGTCCCAGCCAACAGACTGTGACCCCCAGTAAACACACACGGATCGCCAACTCCGTGCCAGACCTGGGGGAACCCCCAGACACACGATAGCACTGGGACTTGGATGGGCAGCTTACACCTGGGGGCGCTGAAGCTGAGAAGCGCTGGTGGCATGACCCAGAGAAGTCACAGCAGCTCAGGAAGAGAGCTGCCCTGGGTTCCTCCACAAGCCCCACTCCCAGCCCTGGGCACAAGTCGGCCTGGGTCACGGTAACCCCCACCCGAGTAGGGAGACCACAGTCCCTGTGCTGCTTCTCAGGTGAGGGGCGCCCAGACCCACAGGCACAGCAATGCCAGAGCTGGGAGCCACCCAGCCAACCCCAACCATGGGCCCCAAGCTCAGCCCTCCCCACCCACTAACCAGAGCAGGCCAGGCCCAGACGGTGACTGTGAGCATCCCACAGCGGTCGCTCAGCACGCAGCAGCCCCAACTTCCAGGGAAGGGTGGAGGTTCAGAGGTCAGAGCCAGTGCCGACCTCCAGGGGAGGGGTCACTATGGCAAGTAAAATCTGGGCTAGAGACGATCCCAGGGTGCAGAGCCCAGGGCTGACCAAGGGGTGCAGGGGAAGGAGTGTGGATAAGAAGAGGCCTGAGCCCTGGGGAAGGAGTGGGAAGAGGGGGACGGAGGGTCAGGGAGCCAGGCTTTGACAGACCCACAGGGTGAACAATAAGGCAGGCCCAGGTGACACCCCAGAGCACCAAGACTCTGTTGTGAATATTTTCAGAGACATCAAAGTGGCGAAGGTCGAGAAAAGAAGTTGGGGTAAGCAAAGGAACCCCAGAGAGGAGTTCTGTGGGCAGAGACGAGGCAGAGGCCAGAGGAAGGTCAAGAGCACATGCTCTGGAGCTGGGAGACAGCTGTCAAAGACCGATCCTCAAAAGTGAATCACAGCTACCACCCGCCCCGGCAATGCCACTCCTGGGTCTACAGCAAGACAATCGAGACAGGTGTTCAAACAAAACCATGCACGCACGCGACTGTGCACGGCAGCCTCGGTCCCAACCGCCAAAAGGTGGAAATAACCCTGGTGTCCATCAAGTGACACTAGGACAAAAATTATGTGGGGTCTGTCCACACAGTGGTGTGCTGTCCAGCATTCTGACACACACAGAGCAACACGGGTGAACCTGGAAACCAGGATGCTACAGGAAAGAAGCCAGGCACCAAGAGCCACACGCTCCATGAAATGTCCTGATTGGGAAAATCCAGACACAGAAAGCAGCCTGATGATTGCAGAAAGGGAATGAAGAGGGACTGCAGATGGCTACGGGGTTTACCACTGGGGTTAGGAAATGTCTTGGGGGACTAGACAGATGCGGTCAATGCACGACATCTTGAGTCCCCTCCCTGCTCCTGAAATGTTCACTTTAAAATGGTTCATTGGGCCTTTTTTTCTTTCTTTCTTTCTTTCTTTCTTTTTGGTAACAGAGATGGGATCCACAGAAGCCTTACCATGCATCTATATCCCCAGTCCTTTTTAGCTTTTATTCTGAGATGGGGGTCTTGCTAAACTGCCGAGGGTCTCCATACATTGCTGAGGCTGACCTTGAACTTGGGATCCTTCAGCCTCTGCCTCCTATATCGCTAGGGTGACAGGCGTGCGCCACCATGCCCTGCCTAATAAGGTTCCTTCAACTCCCCCCGACACCAAAAAAAAAAAAAAAAAAACTGGACATGAAGAGACACACAAAGGTTGAAGGAAATCACAGTCCGACAAATCCAAACCCAACAGCCCTCAGCAGAGCCATGGCTACCCCTAGACCAGGTCGTGGGGAAGGTGTGCTCACTGCTGTAAGAACGAGAGAACGATCATTCCTGACCACCCTAGCTGCCGTCTAGAGAAGGGTCAGGAATAAGAGGGAGCCTGGACACAGCGGTGGCCTTGGCTATGTGAGAGGTGCCAGGCCCCGAGAGACAGCGGGGTGACAAGCCGTCCTCAGGGAGGGGAAAGGCGGGCCCCAGAAGGTGAGCCGTCCCCGTGCGGCCAGTGGGAAGTCTCTTCTTTGACCTTCCCAGTGAGAGGGACGGTCACACTGTCCGGAGGGTCTGGGACCTTAAAGAGACAGGTAGGTGGTCCCCCAGAAGGGAGCTCAATTCTGGAACAGGAGGGAAGGGGAGGGTCCAGGATGACACCCCAAGCTCAGAAGCGGACCTCCTGGCAGTGAGCAGAGGGGCCTGTGACACAGAGGGCCACCCTAGCTGCCCGGACTGTGACGGTGCTCAGGGCTTGGTGCTTTTTCATTTGTGCTCCCTGGCAAGAACCTAGGGGCGGATGGCCTAAGACCTCTGGGCCTCAGGCCCCAGGCACGGCTCTGAAAGGCCCTGTGAGGGCTCCCGGGGCTGGACACCCCCCTTCCCCGTGGAGGGCACAGGTGTGACAGTAGCCCCCAGAAGGCAAGCACCCAGAATCCCTTCCCCTGGAAGCCTTCTCTGCTCAATACCCAGCCTCTGCAGAGACTTCTGGTCAACCCAGGGATCTGTGGGGGCAGCTGTTCACCCACAGGACTGGGGATCCTCAAAGTCAAACCGTGGATGAATTCATAAGCAGCCAACAACTCAACTGTCCTCCCAAGTGGCAAAGCAGCCCCATCACATCCTGGAGCATCCTGTAATACTCACTTATAGACAGATTTCTGGAAAGACAGGCCCACACTTCACCTCCACAGAACCTGGAAGCCCAGCTCTGGTGAGCAGAGGGCTCTCGGGGACATGAGACAGAAGGAAAGTCCAGGTAGGAAATGTTTATGGGGGCAACACACTCCCCAAGAGTTTTAGTAAGGGCTTTGGCCTCCACCTTCCCCCACCTGAGTCCAAAGGGCTCGAACAATGGCCTGTCTTCTAGCCTGGCATTTGGCAAGAGAGCAGTCAACAGGACCAGCCTGCGTTTGGTGGCTGAGGTCACGAGGGGGATGGAAGGCCACAGGTCACCCAGGGTGGACATTAGCTCTGTCAATCCCTCCCCTTCTCCGGGTCTCGGTTTGTTCTTCATGGGAAGGACTCAGAGAGCCCTCTGCCATCTGCAATTCCAAGACAGTCCTGAGCCCTGGAACATTTCCCGTTCAATAAGAGCCTGTTGAGGCCTGTTTCTCAGAGTAGGGAAATAAGAGGCTGCTCAGGTCACCCAGCAAGTGGGTGACCCCCCCACTTCAATCCATGCCAGCCCGGCCCACGCCCAGTGCGGTCACTCTAGGCCAGAGACACTCTCTGGGACAAGACATCTCCTAGGATCCTGGGGCCAGGGGTCTCCCTCCTACTAAGGGAGGACCCAGCCTGGCCCCGGGCCTCTTCCTGTGGGGCTTCCGGATCTGAGCTGAAATCGGGTTTGGCCACCTGCCTCCCCGAGCAGCTCCCCTGTCTCAAGTCTCTTTTCCTCGTCCAACCAGGACATCTTTTTGAGAATTAAATGAGATAATGTTCGGGAAAGCACTGAGCACAGCGCCTGGCACAAGCAGATGCGGGGTAAACAGTCATTTTCATTATTGTATTTGGGTGCCAAATCTCAGGGAGACGTCGCGCCACTTCCTGAGAAGTAAAGGGCGCCCAGTGACACCGCGGCGTACTGAATCCACCATCGAGCATGTGCTGTGCCGGAGCCCCCAAAAATATCCTGATGGTGGCCAGGAGCCCAGGGAGAGGCAGGCGGCAGGCCAGCGCGTCACAGTGAGCCATCAAAAAAAAAAAAAAACACAGGCCACCTCTAGGGGGACATGCCTGGCTGGTGGCCCAGGGAGGGGATCTGGAGGAGTAAACCCAACCTCACCTCCCGTGACTGCAGCTAATGGAGAAACTCAAAAGTCCCTGGACCCCTTAGACTCTGGGCACAGGCAGGGATGCTGGGAAATAAGCATGAGGTCACCCTGCAAGTGGGTGACCCCCACTTAGATCCATGCCATCCTGGCCCACGCCCAAGTCCTCGGTGAAGCGGGGCAGCAGCTCCCTGTCCCTGAAGTCAGCCACGAAGACCCCCAGTAGGATGAGAAGTCTCCCCCCCACACACCGCCATGAGGCAGGGACATCCCACCTGACTCCCTATGGTGGGGGGTAGGTGGGATATGGAGCTCTGAAAATACCCCCCACCCTGCCCACCCGAGAAGAAACCTCAAGAAGATGCATTAACGTGGAAAGATGTCCCACCTCTGAACCAAGAGAAAGACACTCCCCTGTTAGACCTCCCTGTCTGCAAACTGGGAGGTGGGCCGTGGCAGAGGCATACACACAAACCCCAAACCAGCACCACCCCATTGGAGGGCACAGTGGTAACAGCTCTCAAAGTCACAAAGGCACGGCCCCTCCAACCTGGCTTTTCCAGAACTTTCTGTCGGGACTGCCCAGGCACCAGGACCTAAGTGTCACATTATTGCAGCAGAAGTATGTTAACAATAGCCTCCCCGCCAGGCTGGATAGAGACCTAGAAGTGAGTACATCACAGTGAGGCAGGTTAACCAAACGGAAATTCAGCCTCTTCCGGAAATACCAGTCCGATTTTTAAAGCCACTTTGCTGATTGCTGTAATCATAAAAGGCGTTGTCTCCCACACCCTCCCCTTGTCCCAGGGCTGCCTGAGAACTGATTGCTCCCAGCAGCCCCACAGGGAAAGGGCCATTACTATCTCCACGACACAGAGCAGCTGGGTCATCTGCCCAAGGACAGACAGATGGTAAGTGGCACCGACCAACAAACAGAACCCCAATGGTATGTGTCTCCAAGGTAGATTGCCCGAAAAGAACATTTTTCTTTTTTTTTTTTTTTTTAAGACTGTTTTCCCCCAGTGCTAGGGATGAAACCCAGGACCTTGCACAAGCTAGGCAAGTGCTCTACTCTACCGCTGAGCTACGCCCCCAGCCCTTTTTATTTTTATTTATTATTATTTTTTTATGATCATGTACACTGTTTATTTTTGTTTCCGATATTTAAATAATGTCATGCTTTTTGTGAATTGCTTTCTTTTGATTTTCCTTTGTGTTAATTTTTTTTTTTATTAGCTGCTCATGACAATACAATGATCTTTGTTTTTAGACAGTGTCTCGCTAAGTTGCCCAGCCTGGCCTCCAAACTTGGAATCCTCCTGCCTCAGTCTCCCGAGCAGTTGGGATTACAGGAGCGGGCCACCCACACCTGGCTACTCTATTTTTCTTTGAAGAAGAAAATGTCAAGATACAGGGTGGTATTTCCAGGTAAGACCCTGTGTTGTGGGTCGACAAAGATATGCCCACCTGGAAACTGTGAACGTGACCTGATGTAGGCAAAGGATTTTTTTTGCAAATGTAAATAACTTAAAGGTCCGGAGATGAACTCCCCAGAATTAGAATGGTTCTTAAATCCAACCCAAGCATCTTTATAAGAGAAGGAAGGATAGTCTAAGGAGAAAGCCACGAAGCTACAAGCCAAGGGTCATCGCGGACGGCCAGCAGACACTAAAAGCCAGGAGAGACCCAGAACAACTGTCTCTCAGAGGCGACAGAAGGAACCAACACTGTCCACACCAGGATCCTAAACTTCGGGCCACCAAAACTGGAAGGCACATTTGCACAAGTTCTTAAGCATCCTTCATCCCCAAATCCAAAATCTCAAATGCTCAAACCTCCAACATTTTTGAACCCTGACATGACACTGCAGGTGGAAAATTCCACACCATGAAACTTTGCTAAATCATAATAAAATTATTGAAGATATTATGTAAACCTACTTTCGGGTGATGCGCCTGAGACGTACATGAAACACATCGACGCAGGCTTAGATTTTGGGTCCCTTCCCCAAGACATCTCATTATGTATATGAATATATTACAAAAACTTTTTTTAAAAAAACTGAAATACTTCTCATCCCAGCACTTCAGATAAGAGATGTTCAACTTGTTCTGTTTTTGTTTTTAATATCTTTTTAATTTTTTACTTGTAGCTGGACACAATACCTTTATTTATTTACGAGGATCGAACCCGGGACCTCGCACGTGCTAGGCGAGGGCTCTACCGCTGAGCCACCACCACCCCAGCCCTCAACTTGTTCTGTTTTGAGCCCCCAGGGTGGCGTCATGGCTGACACAGCCACAGGAAAACTGACACAGGGTCGAGAGTGCTCCTGCTGTCACTGCCTGGACCTGGCTGACTGTCCCTCCAGACTCCTGCCCCTGGATCCTTCCCCCTCCCCCAGACACAACATCAGGCGTGTGAATTTGTTCAGCCCATTTTTCTCTCCTGTTCCCATTTCACAGGTGACACACTAAAGCTCAGCCTCAAGCCACAGCCCCCAGGGCTCCCGCACCCCACCCCGGCCCTGTCCTCCCAATTTCCTCCCTGTCTACCCTAGCTCCATTTGGGGTGTCCTCACCTAGCTACAGCTGGCTCTGAGGCCACCAGGAGGCAACAGGGTCGGGACAAGCCCAGAGCCTGGTCATCGGGTCCTGGTGCCACAGGGCCAGGGCATCTGCTGTGGGGTCAGAGCCAAGACCCCTGAATGGACGGAGCCCTGCTCATCAGACCCAGGCCAGCTCGCGCCCAGCAGAGGAAAGGAAGAGGGCAAGCATCAGGGTGTCAGTCCTCTGTCACTGCATCCCCAGAGCGGGGCTTGGGTCACGCTAAGACTGCGGCACAGGTTCCTGGGGACGCTCCCTGAGATGATCCTCAAATCTCCCATGGCCCACGGAGGGACCTGGCTGCTCTGTCTGGCAGGTGCTCTTGACAGCTTGAGACCCAGCGGGGTACAGGGATGGCGTGGCTGAGCCTCCGGCCACACAGCAGAGAGGCGCAGGGAGGAGAGGAAGCCGCCCTGCCCTGCCCTGTCCTGCCCTGCCCACGGAGCCAAGGCACTCAGGGGCGGAGGCTGGTGCCCATGTCACAAATGGAGAAACTGAAGCTTGAAGAGCAAGAACACTAGGGGGGGTCTTTATCACCTCCCCCCAGAATCAGGGCATCAGAGTCTTCCTAAGTAGGAGCCCAGTTCTTCTCAAATCGTTCCTTCGGGGACGACAGGGTGGCCGAACAGGAGAGAGGCACAGTGATGCGGGTCTCCCAGAAGATCCGGGGGGTGACCCTCCTCAGGACAAAGGATCTTCATCTGAAGACCGTGAAGAAGCCGGCGATTCTCCCTCTGAGAGGTCAAAGGCACCAGAGAAGCAAAGAGGCTATCTGGAGAAGTGGTGGGTGCTCCCCCTTGGGAATCCAAGTGGGGGGCTCACTCTGCCCTAAGAGGAAGCTGGACTCACCCCCTAAATTCCACAGCCTCAAAGGAATGGGACCTGCCCGGGGGGCCTGGGAGCTTGGCGGCAGCAGAGAATGGCTACTGGGCAAGATTAGAAACTGAACTCCCAGACGCCCCCTCCAAACCCAGAATTCTAGGAATAGAGCCAGGGGACCTTCGAAATTGCTAGTGGGATCTGAGAAAGGAGGTATCTAGGCAAGGAGTCAGCACCCCTCCTGGTGCTAAGATGCTCCAGTTGTGCAGTTCAGGTTGCCTGTCTCAAAGCCGCTAAAACTCTACAAAGAATCCATGATGCAGGAACTTCAGTGGCTCGGCGCGCATTCAAAGACTCCACAACTTAGGATTCTGTGATCCAGAGACTCGGTGACTCAGCCCGCAACCCATATGCAAAGAAGACGGGATGAGAGCCGTGGGTCCATCAGGCATGGGGACACCACACAGTCAGGGGACACAGTGGCATGGATGGGAAGGAAGGAAAGAAGGGAGGAGGGAAATTAGCAAGCTTATATGCCTCCTTCACATACCAACATTTGCACAACAGCCCTGAGAAAATCCAGAAAGTTCTCTAATGATGGTCCCCTCAAGAACACGAAGCTTTTCTTGGAGGAGGGGGGGGAGTAAGACACAGAATTTGAGAAGGAGAGGTTCACTTTCCACCCTGCCGATGGTTAGATACTTAACCAGGAGCATGCAACCCCCTCTTGCAATTACAAACTGCAATAAGTGACACAGGATTATGGGCACGTCTGTGATTCTCCCTGAGTTGGTTTACTTGTCCATTGGAACCTCCCTCACCCACCGAGACACCAGCCCCATGAGGGCTGGGGGGAGGGGGTCTTGTGCACTGACACATCCCCTGACTCCTGGCCGAGGACGAAGCACACAGCAAGATCTCAAGAGCTATTTGTTGTAAACATAAATGATGCAGAGATGTGACCTCCTCGGGCCCCACAGCACAGACATGTGATAAGGCAAGACCCCTAGGATTCTCTGGGAAGGGAAGGGAGAGGCCGGAAAGAACAGAAATGCCCTGTAAGAGGGGTGTGTTCCCTGAGTTTGCTGCACCCCAGCCCCACCTAGGCCCTATTTCTATATGGCTGAAGCCAGGATCTCTCCAAAGCCCCACCAATGAGCATTCGTCACCTGCCTCAGGACTCCAGCACCCCCGAAGCCCCAGGTGTCCACCCTGTCTCTGCCCTCCATGTGACCCATGAGGTCCCCACCCCCCCACCCCGCTCCCTGGGCGATGCCAAGCCCCCCTGAGCCCTCTACAGCTCCATACAAGCCTGGAGTGGGAGTCTGGCCTTGGCCTGGAACCAGGAGCCCAGAGGCAGAGGGTCGGGGCAGGGGGTGGCGCTGCTGCTGTCACCCAAAACGCCAGCTGCTGGCAGCGATTTATTTTTGCTTTAAGTGCTGGAGAATTGCAGGGCTGCAGCCGCCAGCTCAGGGGGGCCCAAGCTGCAGCTGGAAGGAGGAGGAGGTGGGGTGAGGGGCCCGCCCCGGACCTACAGCTCCTTCTCAACCTCCCTGGCCCCAGTCTTTCAGCCTCCTTGACTCCTGGTCACACACCAGCCAGCACCTCCCTGTCTCCACACGCTACCCCACTTCAAGTCTCCAAACAGCTGCAAGGAGGCCGAGCAGGGTGAAGTTCCTACCTTGCTTCTCATGAGCTGTGCAACCTTGGGCTGTGGCTCTCCCTCTCTGGCCTCGGGGTGCTCCAGATTTCACAAGGGAGGTGTCATGTCACACATACACTCCCCAGGATACCCATTCAGGGGTGGGAACATGGAGAGCTGCAAATGGCTCTAGTTCTCCCATTTCCTGGTCTGTCTTCTGTGTCCAGGTGAACTCCAGGAGCTGGTGACCTGTCCCTGCACACCTGGCTGAACTGAGCTAAGTGGCTCACCACTAAGTGGCTCATGTTGGAAACACAAGCCCTGTCTTTTCAGAGGCCACCAAATAGGAACTAACCAGTGTGCATCCGGGTCTCTTGACAACCAGGAAGCTGCTAACGTTGATCAGTTCCCCAATTTTAAAAAATCAATATACACATATGATGTACATATACGTGTGTGTGCGCGCGCGCGCGCGCATGTGAACTTGGGTGGTGTGTCCAAAAAGAGGCTGGAAAAGAGAAGTCAAGTGCACTGACACAAAACACACCCAGCCAGAAGTGTGAAAATGCTGATCTGGGCCAGGAATGGAGACCTCCCCCCACAACCCCACCTCCTGAGGCCTCCGTACATTTTTATGATTTGTACGGAAGGAAGCTAAGATTCACTAATTAAAAAAGGGAAAAAAATCGGCTGAAGGTTGAGCGGTCCGCCTCCCCAGGCCTCAGTGCACTTAGATCTGCAATGGGAACGGCCTCGGCCCCTTCTTGCAGGGTTGGGGCAGGGACACGGTGAGCTGGAAGCAGGCCAGGTGCCGGGGACGTGATGAAGCTCAGAACTTGCAGCCAGTGAGGGCACCGATACAAAGAATTCAGTCCAGAAGAGAAGCCTGACATAAACCCAGCTCCCTCTCCCTGGAGCCGAACAGACGGCAGGCCAGAGGCCCGGAGAGAAGGCCTGAATCTCCGCTCTGCCCTGGACAAGTCTATCATTCTGGAGCAGTGATGTCATCCTTCTGAGGCTCAGTCTTCTCCTCTGCAGAAAATGGGCAGCAATTCTAGCTACCATGGCTCCTGGGCATTTGCGGGGTGTTAGGCATGATGCATGTCTGAAGCAGCCCATTCCACCCGATGTGTTTACTGAGCACCTACTATACACGGGAGGGCAGGCCCTGGGGATAGAGCTGAGGGGGAACGGCAGAGTCGAGGAGTCTGTATCCCCAGGGGAGGCAGACAACAAACAAGACAAAATGTATTGAAGCAGGAGGCATTAAGAGAAAAGCAGAGCAGGAGGCAGGGAATATGGGGTGAAGGAGGCCAGTCAGGGAGGCCTTAGAGAGGAGGTAGCATTTGGACTAGACCTGAAGGGCAGGAAGAAGTAGAGATCTGGAAAAGAGTGGCCCAGGCAGGGGGAACAGCATAGGCCATAGCCCTGAGGTAGGTGTGAACCTCGTCTGTTGGAGGCTCAGCAAGATCAAGCGGAAGGAAAAAGGGTGGTGGGAGGAGCCAAGCTGGGATGGAGGAAAGGCCCTGACACCCAGAGGTCATCAAGAACATAGTAGGTGCTCAAGTAACCATGTTCTGGTGGAAGCCTCTCTGCTCCATACCATTTCTACCATTTCTTGTTTGCTCCTTGACCCCTGCCCGAGCCTGAGTCCTCCAAGGAAGCCCAGGCCACCGGTGAAGGGTGCAGAGGGGCTTCTGCTGCCCAAGGCCTGCAGGAGAGGTTGGGAGCTTTTCCAGGCAGGATTCGGGAGGCTGTGCTCCACCGACTCGAGGAGCGGCCTTAAGGCCTAGCCAGGGCAGAACTGCTCCCTGGGGCACCAAGAGGGGCACTCCAGCTCCTGGTTAGCCATGCCACAG